ACTAATTGAAATATTTACCAAGAAGGAAGACAGGCCTCCCTAAGAACTTTAATCTTTCTAGGGGCAATCGCTATTTAAAATAGGTGTCAAAGTGCCATCTAGTTCCCAAACCAACCCAAAGAAGGAGGATTTTTACAAGACTCAGTTGAAAGGCAAACTTTCTTTTACTACAGTGTTTTATTTTTGAGGTAGAGGCAGAAGTGAGCAAATGAAATGATAGAGAAATCCTAGAGAAGAGAAGGTTAAGTCAAGGACAATGACACATAGTTGTAATGTTGTAATGATAGTTGCAGGATCTTGGCAGAGAAAGATGTGCCTGTGTTGAAATGCAGTTTTCACAGAATGATATCCATAGATTGGAATCTCAAGGCCTGTACAACCCAACAGTTAGGAGTTCCCAAAGGCAGCGTCATTTAATCTAAGATTCAGGAGACCCAGGACCACCTATACCATCCAGGGTGCTTCTTGTTTTTCTTTTCTTTTTTTCTTTGAGACAGAGTCTAGCTCTGTCACTGCAGGCCGGAGTGCAGTGGTATGATCATGGCCTACGGCGCCTCAACTTCCCTGGCTCCATCGATTCTCCCTGCTCAGTCTCTTGAGTAGCTGGGACTATAGGCATGTGTTGCCACACCTATTTGTTTGTTTGTTTGTTTTCAATTGAGATGGGGTCCCCCGAAGTTGCTCAGACGGGTCTCAAATTCCTGGAATATTTCTCATGATCCTCTGGCCTTGGCCTCCCAAAGTACTGAGATTACAGGCATGAGCCACCACACCTGGGTGGTTTTGAAAATACAGACCTCTGGGCCCTACTCCAGACCTGGTGAAACAGAAATCTCCTGGGGGTTGGGGGAACGGGAGAGCTATCTGCCTGCTAATCACACTAAAGTTTAAAGCCACCAGAGACCTCTGTCTTTTATACTCACTGATGGATCCAAGTGACATAACTCAATAAATACCTGTTGAATGAATGAAGGCCTTAAGGGTTCGTGGTACTCAAAGGCTCCAATTACGGATATATTTTCCAGGCCATCTAATCCAAAATGCTGTCATAAGTAAAATGTCACATCCCCCAAGAGGCATTCCTAACCAGGCTAGGGAGCAAGGGAAGCTCTCCTATCTTTGTCCAACAGCCTCAGCGAACTGTCCCTACCTTAACAGGCCTCATCTGCCAGTACTTAACTACAAAAGCTGTGACAGAGGAAGCAGCAAACCAGCCTCACAATGCTGCACTCTAAAAAAAGATGGGATCAATAAAATTAAGGTATAAATAGGGCCCTAGATATAGCATGTGAGTAAATCTGTCACCCAGCAATGACAGAAGTTGGGCAAACTTCTATAAGCCATACAGTTTTATCTGTAGGCTGAATAGCCAAGAGATTAAATTTCTTCCCTAATCATTCAAACCACACGAAAGAGAAGGCAAGAGAAATGCAATCTTGTTTCTGTATCTACATTGTGCTAAGATTGTATTTGCTGATAAAAACCCACTGCATCCTTCAACATCTGAATGGATTAACTGTAGTATATCTATACAATGGAATGCAATAAAAACTATTGATATACACAAGAATGACTCAAATGCATTATGCAAATTGAGAAGCCAACTCTAAAAGATTACATGTCATACGATTGTTTTTAAGAAAACATTACAAAAAATGCAAAACTATGGGGAGGGATAATGGATCTGTGGATGCCTAATTAGGATTAGGAATGGGGGACAAATTTATCTGCAAAGGAGTAGCACAAAGGAATTTTTTGAGATGATGAAATGATCCCATATTCTGATTGAGATGGTAGTTACATGACTACATGTATATGTTAAAACTCAGAACTTTATACCAAAAGAGTGAATTTGCTGTAGGCAAATTATATTTTAAAGGAACCCACTGCATTTGCCATTCACAATGTAAGTTATTAGAACTCTGAGGGCCCTGAGACACTTTTCTTCTGTTTATCAGTGTGGGGAATGCAGGAAAAAGTTATCTTGAGGCACAAGTGTGAAAGTGAGGAATCACTGCTAGGCCTTAGAGTCTATGCTAAGTACATTATACCTGGCGCCAAATGTAGCATGTTAGAAACTGGAAACCGTTTTGTAGAAAATTCCTTTATTATAGTGCAAATAACTTTCAGCAGTGACATAATGTAACAACACATTTAGCAACATTTTACACCACGCAGTAAATAAGAAAGTGTTTCTTTGAAAATATGTCATCATAGGAACATTATTTCTACATTAATGCCAGAAAATGCCAAGGCCGTTTATCTCAAGGCAACAGGGCTCCCTCCTTCCTTTTGGGTATCTTCTTTTTAACACAAATGAAATGACTTGCCGTTTTAACAAATCCTCAATTATAAAAGCGATGTCTCAGGGGGTTTTGAACTAAGGTCGGCAAGATTTGAAATGGGGCTTCAAAATTTTAAATAATAATTTAAAAATACTTCTGGAATAGCCCAAAAACTAGAAGTCACTTCTATTAGGTTTTAAGTAGATATACACACTCACTCCAATTTTACTGCAGAAATGGACAGATTGTCTAAAGCCTGCTTTCTATTCCCCCAGAGCCTGATTGTTATTTATACTCCTTGGTTTTGGTTATTGCAGAACTGGGGCTCTGGTCAGAAATAACTCCTCACATACCCAAATACTTTCCTGTGGAAGCTTTAAATTGCACTTTCCATCCTGAAATTCTCACCTTAGACCTCACAGGCCCAGGAGAGGGTGTGAATACTGTTTCCAGTTTACATCTAAAGCCCCTTACTAATTTGGGCTATACCTGAATCAAATCATCACATCATTTAGATTAATCCCAATAGGCTTATCCAAGAGGTTCCCACTAAACTCACAGAGAAACAAACAGTTAACATTGTATTTTCACACTAAGCTGCCTCAGGGCTTGGCTGCTAATGAGTTAGCTGATAGGTAGACAGAATAAGAGTCTCAATTCCAATCAGTTACACACCCTGCTCCTCTAGTTTCTGCTGAATTATGCAGTGGGTGGGAATGGTTGGCCACTCAAAAGAGTCTTCCTATGGGGCTCTTCCACCATAAGTTGAATCAAAACTCCCACAAATGTTATTTCAAGGTGCCCTTTAAGTCTCTATACAAACACTTCTCAAAATTTAGGGACTTTGAAGTGACAAGCCATGAGAAGTTAATCACAGGCTTGAAAATACCTGGAACCACAGAGCAGCCCCCACGGAACAGGCTGAATATGGTTAAATAAGTTGGCTGGTACATAAAGCTTTTCAATATACAGCCAGTCTTGTTGGATACAGTATCTTCTTATATAACACAATGGAACTGTGCTAAACAGTTTCAAAGTTGAGAAGAATCCAAATATATCACCTATAAAAAATTCACAATTTTAGTTTGTTTATTTTAGACTTTGGTACTGAAACACTGTCTACATTCTTGACACTTGAAAATGACATGGTCACTTCAGTGCCTCTGCATGTTGTGTAAAAAAAAAAAAAACTCAAAAAAGCAAAGCAGGACAAGGATGTGTCATTGCAAGACACAGTATGCTGTACAAACAAAACCTAAATTATATATAAATACACCCCCACCCCAGAACCCTGTCTTCCCTCACTACCTGATCAAAGCAATGCCAAGGGTCTCTCCCTCCAGGGCCAATGTAGCTTGTAAAGTCCAGAACCCAGGACTTTAAGCATCCCTTGCCTTGCGGTGACATTTACAGTACTGCAGCCTCCTGTTGGAGTCACCCTGTTTGATCAGTTCCATAAGTGCAGGGAAACGCCTACAGCTTAATTGGAAGCATTCACTCTACTGGCTGGATTCAAAGACCTGGAGTCCTGGGAGTTAACCTTTCAGATAAACTGGATCATTTCCTAATCTGAATCCCATCTAATCCTACTATCTCCTCAGAGCCAACACAGTAGGAAGCATCTTCTACTCTGAAGCTTCCAAAGGCATTACTTAGGGATATTGGTGAGGGTCACATAAGAAAAGTTATACAATGAGCTAACAGCTTAAGTTGATATAAATTACTTCCAAGTAAGTTATTCAGGGCCATTTGCTTCTGCTTTACACTGCATTCCACAGTCATTTTCATATTATTCCTTTAAAAGTTTATATTATAGTCGCTTTAAAAATTGTCTAAGCAGTCACCTCTTGTGTTTTTGATTAATTTAATAACAACTTAATGAGCTATTATATAAATCAAGAGAGAAATAATTAGTCTTAAGGAAGCCAATACTGTGCTAATTCCCAGTAAGGAGAAAAAGCAATGTAAATAGAATTTTACATAACCAACAATAACTTGAAAAGCAGTTTTATCAAAATGGTTTTGTAAAGGTTTCCCAAAAGCACTTACAGCAATTTATATCAAGAGATCCTAAGTTTAGGGGTATGGAGAATCTCAATTCGTTAAAGCAGAAATTCACCAGTTTCATAATTGTAATATGTAATTTTCTCCCCTAGGACCTAAGATATTTATACATTCAAAAGTTTATAACTTGCTGTTCTTGAGACATTGTTCGTTCTCTAATACATACATTGAGTAAAATAAATAACTACAAGAAAGCTTCAACAATCTGAATTAACATTATGCTGTGCAAAACAAAAACAAAAACAAAACAAAAAAAAGTCAAATCTTGAACAACCTACATTCTATGTAAATACCCTGACTAAAATATTGGTTGTGCTACACAATTCCACTTCAGCGCAGAAATGCATTGATTTCACTGTACCGTTGTTGTTGGCTTTTCAAGTGTCTTTAGCACTTCTGTTTCTAAGCATTGCCTTTCTTTGAAAAGATGAATAATTTGCTACCAAATCACAAATCATCACAAATCCATTTTAGTGTGGTCTGAATAAAATCCAGCATAAATGTATTATTTTATTCTGGGTATAATGGCTCGGTGTCTTTGTCCCAACAGCTTTCTTCTTAAGGGCAAACCACGGTTGAAGTTGTCATTTTGGGTTTAAACTGTACAAAAGAAGAGACAGTGAAGCTTGCCATTTGTTTTTGTTTTCTTTTTAAGTGTCCAGATCTTGCTAGGACACTTCTTCCAGACCAACAGTCAAGACAGTTGTGGCACGTGATCCTATTTGAAATAGAGGTGGTTTAAATCAGCCAAGCTTGGTGATCTGGAGGTCTCCGTTTATCTTTATGGTGTCAATTGCAGATAACGTTTGAATGCGATGGTAAAAATCAAAAAGTTGGTGTCCATCCACAAACACTCGGAAACGTGGGTGCTCACAAAGAATTTCCACCTGGAAGAAACAAAATAATAGTCCACAATTTCAATGAACCCTACTGGGGAAAACAAATAATACTTCATTTTAGAGAAAAAAAGGCAGTATCTTCAGTGGTTCACAAACATTAGAAGGCATTGAAACCTGCAGAGGGCTTGTTAGAACACAGATTGTTGGGCTCTACCTTCAAAATTTCTGATTCAGTAGGTGTTAAGAATGTGTGTTTCTACCAAGTTCCAAGGTAATGCTGATATTGCTAGAATACAGAACCCACTTTGAGAACCATTGCTCTACACTATTCAATATAATACCTTTTAAAGATTTAAAACTTCATTCCTTTAACATATCTCCCTTCTGCCTATACTCCAGAAAGTGATGTAAAGTAGCATAGATTTGTTTATATGGCACTTAATGCCTCCACTGTCATCCCCTGAACTATTCTATTCCACCTTCAGAAGGGCCCCTCACAAGGCAGAACTGGCATCCATTAGTAGCAGACCATAATAGTCTAGACACTCAAAATATGCTAAGCACTAAGGCAGAGAGAAGGTTACACATAGTAATTACCACTGGACAAAGAACATGTAATTAACAAGGTTTTGTTGAGTCAAACAGAAATACCGGTTCCATAAGGTAAAAGCTTTTTCCTCAAGTAATTTACCATAAAGTTTAATTACTGGTAGTGTGCTATGATGGGTTTATTAAAAGCATTGGTATTCACCATGTAAGGAGGCTCCATATGTGATATTAGTCACATTTAATTCATATTACTAAAATTTTATCACCAAGAAAGGCCTATTTCACTTCAGTTTTGTTGTTGGGAGCATTATATTCCTCCTGGCAGTCAGAAGCTGTGGTTATTCACATTCATGAGCTATGCATTAAGGTTCATCACTGAGAAACTATCCTCACCAAGAGGAGCCCAAGGGGACATCACCATTCTAGAGAAGGGGGTGAGGAGAGAGAATGGGTCAAGGGTGCTTTCCAGAGACTATAACTAGAAGGGCAACTATCTCAATTCTACCACCGATGCAAAGATCATGGATTCTTATTTTCCCCTCAGAATGTAAGAAGGGAAGTGAAATAATTACTTCTTCATGAGGCACTTGAAAATTTCTAGATGAAGGGTAACCAGTTAAGTGTAGTTCTGTTTTATTGGGCTCATATGTAACATGGAGCTTTTAACTGAGTTGTCATTATTGTGATGTAATGTGAAGGTGTAATGACAATTCATCACTAGGTCTGACCCCTTTTCAACACCATTACTACTTGCATTTCCTTTTTTTTTTTTTTTTGACAGAACCTTGCTCTGTCACCCAGGTTGGAGTGCAGTGATGCAACCATAGCTCACTGTAGCCTTGAATGTCTGGGCTCAAGCGATCCTCCCGTCTCAGCCTCCCAAATAGCTAGGACTACAGGTGTGTGACACTACGCCAGGCTAATCTTTTTTTTGTTTTAAAGAGGCAGGGTTTTTGCTATGTTTCCTAGGCTGGTTTTGAACTCCTTTGCTCAAGCAATCCTCTTGCCTCAGCCTCCCAAAGTGGTGGGATTACAGGCACAAGCCAATGTGCCACTACTTGCATCTCTTATTTGGCATTGCCTTTCATAGAGGAAGGTGCTGCTAATGCTGCTTGACTGAATGAAAAGTTTGGATTGTGCTTCCTGCCCAAAAGATAGTGGGGAGCAAATCTTTATTCATCCAGTCCCAAGGGAAGGAATTTGTCAGCCAGTCTGTAACCGTGAAATAGACTGCGGTTAATTAATCCAGAGCGGGAAACAAGGACACAAACATGGCCTCATTAGCGAAGGGAACAAGAGAAAATGAAATGATCATCATCATATTCTTTAAAATGTCATACAAATAAGGCTGAGAGCTAATAAGTAGCTCTCAACCTTATTAATATTTATTAATATTTAATAAGTGGGTACTTATTAGTATTGATTAATCAAACAGATATTTGGGGGTAGGTATCTACTATATGTTGGGTACTACATAGAAAAGTTACTTATTCTTAACAATTTGGTCACGTAAATATGGGTCTATTTAAATGTGTGAGCTGAACAGAACTAACAGTTACTATGGCAAGTGTTAATTTACATCAGCAAACAGAGTTCTTTTGATCTTTTTTTCACCATTGGGTGACAAATTTCCTGGACATGCAAAAATTCTGGCCGCTTCAAGTGTTCTTGGCACACACTAGGTAAGTCGAACATTATCACCCTGACAGTGGCTGGAGCCGAGGCACTCGAGGTACTTACCCTGAATGGCTGGTCTGGAATGAATGGGAAGTAAGGGATTGCTGACTGTTCTTCACCCCTCTCCCCAGATATACAAGAATTTCTGAGTAGCTGCCGATCTGTGAACACAGCTTTGAGTTCAATTGCCACATCGGCAGGAGGGTCTTCAGAGTCCCCACAGGTCAAACTGATTGCAAAGCTGAAAAGAAAATCATCTCATTGATTCAGGGTTGGATATAAAAACATTTCAAAATGACCCAGGTGCTTATATTTCCTGTTCCTCCTCTGGGTTTGCCCGTTTTTAAGAGGCCACTACTCTTCAAGAGAGGTTAGATTATGGAGAAGTAAGTCAAGCCAGTTTATTTTGTTACCTAAAGCAAGCTCTGGTGAAAACTTTGGTGGAGCTGAAAATGACTAAAATTAGCGATTTCAAATACCCCAAAGCGACGACACATCTATGTCTTAATCCACTTCGGAATTCTCAAAAACAGCCACAGAAATTGACCACGGGAAATAATGTTAAGTTGGGTTCTTATTCATCTTGATAGTTCTTGCTTCTGGCACCATGTTTCAAAACCATAAAAAAAAAAAAAAAAAAAAAATCCTTTGGCCTCCCTAAGGGTCAAAGAGAAAATGTGGGCCTATATTTATAATCTCTGATATAAATAGCTGTCTGGAGAAATGATGGCTGGGATTCATACACATTCTTTTCATGGGAACATGGTACTTTCTTGGCACTGGCAACTAGCAACATTGTGCACAAGGAGAGGAAGAGGAGGAGTGCTAAACCACAACAGGAGTGGGCAGGGCTCAGCCACAGCCTGATAGTTCTGTAAAGACTCTGCCTTACCTCTCTGGGTTGAGGTCTACGATGCCCATCACTAACACCTTCTTGCCTGGTCTCATGCCACCTTTAATGTGCCCACAAAATGGAACTATCTGCAAAGGGTGGGAGAACAAAAATGAGTTTCACAGCCTCTTAGGGAAGAGCCAAGACCTCAGATCCTGAAGGCCTGACCCATTGGAAAATGCAATAAACAAACGAATAAAATTTTAAAAAGCAATGAGAAAGGAGGAGGGTACAGGCAGAGACACAGAACACAGAGAAAAGCCATTTACCAGTCGTGGGAAGTACACGTCCGCTTGAACTGGAGAGCTCAAAGAGTTGTTTAAATGGCCATCATCTAGTTTCTAAAAATAGAAGCACACAGATTGGCTTTCCATGGGCTCTTTTTTGGGGGGCTGGAGGAAGAACCCACACAGATGTGGTGGAATCCAGCAGTCTTCCACACGCACACAGTGTCTGCCGATGATGCCTCTTCACTGTCTCTTAGATAATCTCATAACCCCCGAACAAAACCCATCCTTTCCACCCGGTGGTTAAGCTTCTGAAGATCCGCAGACCCTTCAGATCCAGATCAAAATCAAGGTCGAGGTCCACCGAGGAGCCAGAGCCCCACGCCGGAGGAGGGCAGGCCCCTCTTCAACCGCAAACGCTTCTGGAAGCGCGGTGGGCCAGGCCTGTCCTCCGGGACGTGGCTGAAGTGGAGCTGCCGTGCTCAACTTCTCTCGGGAGCCCCGGGCGCCGACCCATTTCCAAGGGGGAATCCCCGGGACGTCGGGGGCGGTGGCGGGGC